CGACACTATTGAGGACCTATTGGATGACAGGTATGAGGTATACACCGATGGCTTTAAACAGTTCGAGTGGAGGCAACCGGTATTTTATGAGGGCTTTGGTAACAACTCATTCAGAGATAATTTTGTGAAACTGGTCACCACTAGGTTGAGGACATGGGATATCAAACAATTAATGGATGTATTTTCAGAAGTTTCTGAGAGTCCGCAAAAATTGCGTACATTTTTCAGTAATAAAGTGTATTGGCGAAGACCTGGGTCACCATAACTACATGTATATACTTTGGCTCATATGTATCACACAATTGGTTTATATCATACAAAATGATTTGTTGGCAAATATGGTGACCCGACCCGAGATATACGCCGATACTATTGAGGACCTATTGGGTGACAGGTATGAGGTATACACCGATAGTTACAAATACAATGCGTGGAGGAAACCGACGTATTATGAGGGCTTTGGTAACAACTCATTCAGTGATAATTTTGTTAAACTGGTCACCACTAGGTTGAGGACCTGGGATATGAAACAATTAATGGATGTATTTTCAGAAGTTTCTGAGAGTCCGCAAAAATTGCGTACATTTTTCAGTAACAAAGTGTTGATTCAGGACCAGAATTGGATGGATGTAATCGAGCCATACCTTCCCAGATTTATGGCCATACATGTGGGTCAACAGTACCTGTCAGTCCCTATAACACCCCTATGTGTTGGACCCACCTTTGAGTTTATTAATCAGTCTAATGTTATGTGAGTATTGAATGTTGTGTTTAATTATATATTAATTATTTATATGTGGGCCAACAGTACCTGTCAGTCCCTATAACACCCCTATGTGTTGGACCCACCTTTGAGTTTATTAATCAGTCTAATGTTATGTGAGTATTGAATGTTGTGTTTAATTATATATTAATTATTTATTTATACATAAATTTGATTATTTTATGAGTAGTGCTCAGCGTTTATACGAGTCATCACTTTTGCAATACTGGTATCATTTGAAAGGAAAGTTTTATTTTGAAATGAGCATAAACATAATTGTAAATGGATTCATTCCGGGGGGCAAAACTATTCATGACTATTACGCAAGTATTACGGACGGATACAATGATATATACCTCAATGACACGCAATCGCTATTCGTATTCATGATCTATAGTCTCGGTTTATGTGTAATCGTTTTAATCTGTGAATTATGTTATTACCATGCTTACATATTTACGTATGTAAAGCTTGAGTCTTAAGTAATTGCACAAAATCTGAATGTTTATGGCGCGCTTAAGACTTAATTGTTGGGATCAGTCTATGGGTCCATTTGTAGGCTATTTATCACTGATTGTGAATATCTTATTATTTACTGTACATTATTATCCTTAATAAACACCTCGAGCACATACCTGTCCTAAAATAGTTGTGCAAAGTATTTCGTATTGTCGCGTATGTTAAATTTAAAATGTTTCCCTAATTTATTCACATAGAGATTTTCTGTTATGATTTTGAATTTAATTACACCTAGAGCACATACCTGTCCTAAAATAGTTGTGCAAAGTATTTCGTATTGTCGCGTATGTTAAATTTAAAATGTTTCCCTAATTTATTCACATAGAGATTTTCTGTTATGATTTTGAATTTAATTTTTGAAAAGGTTATTTGATCTAATGCATTGAAAACATCACCAAACTGTAGCTTATTTATCAGACATTCATTTGATGTTATTTTGTTCCATAAAACTCACTATAAATAAAAATATCTCATTTGTGACCACTGGTGACAAGTGACCACTTTTTCATCTATAGAAAACTCAATGCAATTTTACAATGGGTTTCAATTATCTATAGTTATAGTGTATTTTTCAGATCCAAATAACATGTCAAATGAATGTCTAATAAATAAGCTACAGTTTGGTGGTGTTTTCAATGGATTAGATCAAATAACATTTTCAAAAATTAAATTCAAAGTCATAACAGAAAATGTTGTCCCATAGATAATTCTCCAACTTTGCATAACTATTTTAGGACAGGTATGTGCTCTAGGTGTTATAATTTTATTAAGGATAATAATGTACAGTAAATAATAAGATATTCACAATCAGTGATAAATAGCCTACAAATGGACCCATAGACTGATCCCAACAATTAAGTCTTAAGCGCGCGATAAACAATCAGATTCTGTGCAATTACTTAAGACTCAAGCTTTAGTTTCAAACAAATTTTCAGAAAATGAATTATCAGAATTTGAACATCGTGATTTATTTGAAGAATGCTCTTTTATTGGTGAAGGGGGTTATGGTTCTGTTTTCAAAGTAATTGGTAAAATCGATCGTGGAATATATGCACTTAAAAGAATAAAATTAAAAGGTAATTGTTTATGCTATTTATTAAATATTAAAATTTTTCTAAACAATTATTATTTGTAAACTTTTTAATAGATCAAATTTTTCTTAATGAAGTAAATAACTTGTCAAATAAAAATACAAATTATGTTGTTCAATTTTACCACTCGTGGATACAAGAAAAAAAGCTCTACATTCAGATGGAGTATTGTCCAAAAAATCTACGTAATATTCTTCTCATGAAACCACAAGTATTTGGTCGACAATTAGGAGAAGCGATGAATTGCTTCGAGTATTTCATTTCGTGTGAAATATTGAAAGCGATCGGTGTATACTTCATACCTGTCCTTCAATAGGTCCTCAATAGTGTCCGCGTTATCCACCGGACGGGTCACCAGATTTGACAACAATTCGTTTCGTATGACTTCCACCAGTGGTATGAGTGATATGAGCCATAAGATATACATGTAGTTGACTACTGGTTCCAGAAGCGGTTACGGGTCGTCACCGAATTTCATATAGGTATACTTGAGGTTGTCACTTATCGCAAACGCCAACAAAACTCAGTTAAACACACATATCTTGTGAGTGATGTATAACATAAGGAATGCCGTGATTATGATAAACCAGATCTTCGGCTCCAATCCCTTCCAGATGTCGACAATCGGAGGCAAAGGCTTATTGACGTTAACACTGATGAACATCAGTAGGTTTGACAGGTATAGGGGTTTAGTGCAGTGAAAGGCCCAGGGATCTGTCGTTTCATACAAGTAATTCATGGGCACCCTGTCCACACCTGTCAAGTCGCCATTTATGGTCATTTTGTGCTCCGAATATTTATTGGAATAACCTGGCTCATCACACGTGAACACATACAGGTGCAAACTGCGTGTATGTATGTATTGGGGAAAATAATTTTGATATGTTACTATACATATTTTTATTATAATTACATTAAATTAAAATCATGAATAATAACTAAAATAGTAGTCCAACATAAATACCTGTGATTAACCATCTTACCAAGCTCAATCAACACCGGAGCAATTAATGAACTAAAATAACATGCATTTTGCCCTTCAATCTCAAAGTATTCTTTCTATTATTATGAATATTAAGATTAATTATTATTATAAGCATTATTTGCAAATAACTTAGTAAAATTGATAATTACATATTCAAAGTGGGTTTTTAAATAAAATGAATCAGGATACTTAGGCAACGGATCATCGGGTATAAGATGATTGGTACTAAAATTATACGAGCAGTCAATGTAAGTCATGTTAACATTTTCCACATATTTATGCCAAAAACCAAAATGATGAGACTCAATGTACTGGTACAAATTACCCGCTAGCATCATATCCCTCACTGACAAACTCATTTTATTTTGATTATAATTGTATTAAAATTTTCAAACTTGAAATTGTAATAATTAAATTAAATGTAGTTGTATGTATTCAAATAAATTACCAAGTTTCAATGTCTCTTTCTGACATCGAATTCATTTTGACACTATTTTATTTAACACGGGTTTTAATTAAGCTATTTTTTATACACACCTATGGTCATATTATTGACAAATATTAACTTGTAATTACCAAGTTTCAATGTCTCTTTCTGACATCGAATTCATTTTGACACTATTTTATTTAACAGCCCAAAATTAATTCGATAAAAAATATGTGTGGATACCAGTATAATAACTGTTTATAATTGAACATATTCTTTTACATAATCATTTAATATTTATTAAATACATTTGGTTATAGTTTCATTAATCAACAGAAATGAAAAAAACAATTATATATAATTAGGTTTTGTAATTGGTATTGATTAATAATATTAATAATAAAGTAATTAAATATATGATAAAATTATAGGTAATCAATTGTAGAAAAATGATCAATATTTGCTGTATAAATAATTCAAACATTTCAATATAACTAAAATATTTCTATTACTTTACATTTATTAATTTTGTTAATATTTTGATAAAAATAAAATGATTCGAAATAAATTGAAAAATATGTACAAATTATGATAAAACAATTCACAGATTAAACCGATTACACAAACACTGCGGCCATACATAATAAATTGAAACAATGATTGCATTTCATTCAATGATAATTGAGTGCACGGGTCAGATATGTGGGCGTAATAGTCATATAAAGTACGATAGTTCAATAAATTAAGATCATCATTCTCTATAATGAGCTTGTTCGTTTCAAAATAAAACTTTCCTTTCAATCGATACCAGTATTGCAAAATTGATGACTCGTATAAACGCTGAGAACTATTCATAAAATAAAATTTATTATACAGTATTATGTTACAATAAAACTGCCGGATATATTATTGGGTTAAAGTTATAATCCGAGGTTAGTAATTAATATACTGTATAATAAATTGTAAAAATTTAAGCTAAATTTATATCTAATACTATTATAAATAAAATGTTTCAACCAATACTACATACATGATATCACTTTAATTAACAAACTTAAACTTAACCAGGCAATATACTGTATAATAAATTGTAAAAATTTAAGCTATTAAATATAGATTATGATAATATTTATTTTACAAAGTTGGTTATGATGTATGTACTATAGTGAAATTAATTGTTTGAATTTGAATTGGTCCGAATATCTCATGCCTTGACTACTTATAGTAGTATAAAGACATGTACAGGGGTTGGGAGCACTGGTAGCCTTTCTGTGTCTCCCAGTAGTAATTCATAGGCGTGTTGTCAATTGCAGCCAACTGTCCATTCATTACCATTTTATGACACGGTATGTGGTAATCAGGTGTATCGCATGTAAACACATACAGGTGCACACTAACACATTATAACAATTCCCTTATTGTTTTATTTAATACAATAATTAATGCTTTTAGAAACTAACATGTAAAATACATAAAAAAATTATATAATTTAAAAAATATTATTTTTTAAATTGATTTTAACTTTTGGGAAGTGAAATTGGCAGTAAATCTAAACGTAATTTATAAATTGAATTTAAGGTTAATTGTGAAATCTAACAATTTTATTTTAAATATGTGCTCAGAATGATCATAATGGTGAGGTTAAATTATTTTTATAATTTGTGGTATCGAAGTAATCCACATCTAAAATTATAAACTCGGAAATTTTGTTTGGCATTTTTAAGAATCTCTATGTAAAAATAAGCTGTGCATAGCTTGCGATACACTTATGATTAAATGACATATCGGATAAAATAGATTATATTCTGGTTTAAAGGCCTCTTAGACCAATTAAACACAAGCACTTGGATCTAAGTATGATTTTGTGTATATTAACAGTCTTTATTAATTTTATTGATAATTTAAATTTCTTTAATCATCTATAAAAAGGCTTTTAACAACGGTTAACATGTTCTGGAGGCTACCTCTTTTCTACACCTAATGAAGTTATAGTCACTACTATTTTTATTTTAATGGTATGCTTGAACTAGTAAGACTTGTATATAAATTTTATTTTAACAATCTAAAGTGTTAATACCTTAAATTCAATTTATAAATAACGTTTAGATTTACTGCCAATTTCACTTCCCAAAGGATATTATATTAAACAAAATTAATTTTGGTAAATATTACACGTTATAAATAAATTTAACATAGAAACACGCATTTGATTGATAATGAATAGATAAATGACCAATACAGTATAGCGTTAGTGTCTATATTTAGACAAAAATAAAGTGATGGGAAATACATAGAAAAATATATAAGCATGGTGATAACATAATTCAAAGATTAAACCGATTACACAAATACCGAGACTATAGATCATGAATACGAATAGCGATTGCGAGTCATTGAGGTATAAATCATTGTATCCGTCGGTAATATTAGTATAAAAGTCATGAATAGTTTTGCCCCCCGGATTGAATCCATTTACAATTATGTTTATGCTCATTTCAAAATAAAACTTAGATTTCAAATGATACCAGTATTGCAAAAGTGATGACTCGTATAAACGCTGAGCACTACTCATAAAATAATTAAATTTATAAATAAATAATTAATATATAATTAAACACAACATTCAATACTCACATAACATTAGACTGATTAATAAACTCAAAGGTGGGTCCAACACATAGGGGTGTTATAGGGACTGACAGGTACTGTTG